TTCACAAGAGCACAATCAAGTGTGCTGAGATTCCCCTTCTTCTCAAGATTAACCACAATTTATTAAAATCCACACAGTCAAATGCCTTTGCTTAGTCAATTGAAACACATATACATTCTTCTGGTACCGGTTTCAGCTAAGATCCGTGTAACATTGGCTATAAAGCCCATTGTGCAAGGCCTCTTCTAAATTCAGCTTGCATATCTGACAGTTCTCTGTTGATTTATTGTTCCAGTTGATTTTTGGATTATCTTCAGCAGAGTCTTGCTTGCGTGTGATTTGTTGTTTGTTGTTGTTATGTGCCATTGACTAGTTTGTGACTCATAGCGACCCTATGTACAAGCCTTAAACCCTGCTCTATGCTGTGCCAATCGCATGGCCTCTGACACACCCATCCCAATTACCCCAGTCACTGAATCAATCCACCTCTTAGAGGTGGTGTGTGATAATTTCCACACTCTGTCATATCATGCACTTACTGTCCACCAGCTGTTATAAGGGAGAAAGATGAGCAATCTCCTCCGGTGTGATTAACTGCTTCTCAAAGCCTGCTAGATGGTCAGCTATGGGTTCATTCCAACTCAACAGTACATGACATCAGGTTTGCATAAGCCAATTTGGACTTCTATTCCACCCCCTGTCCCCCAGGCTTTCTTTATCCTTTTATGTGTAGGGTATCAGTTCTTCATTCTTAAAAACTGTATTTTGGATACTTTTTTGTTAAAAAAAATTGCAGAATTTTACATCAAACCTTGAATTTAAATGTCTGTTCTGTTATTTTATGCTAAATGCTGGGACCAAACACTTGTCCTATTTGACTATTAGTGTATTAGAATAATATAATCACAAGATTTCTGGAAGTTTAAGTTAAGTTTAACATTAATATGTGTTATAGTACCAGAGATCGACATTCAATGAGTTAGTATTTTTTTGTTATTTCTCATAATAAAGGAAATCTTGATTTTCTTCCACTTTTCAAGTCCACAGACATTTATTGGATAGGTCTTTATTATGTGAAAAGTCATGGTGGCAAAGTAGTTAGGTGCTTGGCTACCAATCAAAAGGTTCATGGTTCAAATCTACCAGCTATTCTACAAGCAGAAGATGAGATAGCTGGTTTCAGTAAAGATTATGATCTTGGAAATCTTATAGGGCAATTCTACGCTGTCCTGTAGGGTTGCTCAGGGTCAGAATCAACTCAGTGATAGTAGTTTGGGATTTTTTAAATTAGGTTTGTTTTTTTTTTTTTTAAACCTAGTTGCAGAGTAGTTAAGCACTTGACTGACAGTTACAAGATAGGAAGTTCAAACCCACCTAGTGGCTCTACAGGAAAAGAGACCTGGTGGTGATCTGTTCCTGTTCAGATTTACAGCCTTGGAAGCCTTATGGAGCAGTTGTTCTCTGTCCTGTATGGCCATTATGAGTCAGAATTGGCTCAATGGCAACAGGATTATGTGTTTTGTCACGTTACCAACATTATAGTATGTGCTTGAAAAATAACTACGAATAAAGGAAGTACTGTGTATGTCCTTCCTAAGTAATTTTCTTTTTAAAAATTCCTTTATTGTGTCTTAAACAAAAACCTACACATTGAATAAGTTCTTAGATAAATACACAAATGTACACAATGATTATACTATTGTCCTGTTGATGAAGAAATCCTCATATGTAATTTATACCCCCTCCAACAAAACCCACTCAAACAACTTTGTACTGCTTGTTAATGGCATCCTCCTTTCTCATCTCCTATCTTAACCACAAATGTGATTTTTGGGAAAACCATTAGTCCTAGAGGAATGTCTAGCTCTGCCACCTCTCCCTTACTCCTTTGTTTCCCTTGTTTTCCAGTTCCATTTATCTTTTGACTGCTGCAACTTGTCTTGGGAGTCATATTTGCATCTTAAAGTCAGCATATCCCAAACTGAACAGGTGTCCCCAGTTTGTACTCCAAATCTAGCCTTCTTCCTGTACACTCTGCCTTTGTTAATGTCATCAGTTTACTCACCCATCTCAAGTCTTTCCTCCCTCTCCCTCAGTCCCCTTATTTGGGTCTACTTCATTGACTTTCTTGGAACATTTAATCTTTCCAGTTCCTCTCATCTCTTTGGTGTTTATTACCTTTATTGTGCTGAGGAAGCAGTACTCTTTAAAATCATACTTGGCTCTGATTTTTCTTCCCGAAATTATTTAACTCTTTCTAGTCTGCTCTTTCAGGATAAGGTTGGTAAGTTTCAAATTCATCTTAATTGACTTTCTTGTCTACGTCTTCCACTTTTGCTAGACTAAAAGCTCAAATTTTTTTTTATCTTTCCCATTTGTCATTCTGTCTTTTCTCCCTCATATCTACTAGCCTAGTCATTACTTTCTTTCAAGATTCTGCATAAGAGTGACATTTCTGGAACATTTAACATTTCTCCTTACACTGCCATGTTGCTTTCGTAGACTCCTGTCAAAATACATATCACACTACTGTGTAGATGCCTTTTGACTTGCCTTATTTTAATTGAGTTCCTGTACTTGGAAGGTAACAGCTCTTTTTGATTATAGTAGTTACAGTTTAGTATAAAATTGACATAACTAATTCAACTATAATTTTGTGGTTTTGTAACTCCTTATATTAAACTTTTAATCAAATACGAATACTTACCAGGCTAAGTTAATCTATATATGACATAAGACAAATTGCATTGGAAAAGTGACCTCTCCAGAGTACTGAAAAGCAATGACGCCAATCTGGAGACTAAATTGGGCCTTATCCAGGTCATAGTCTTTGCAGTTACTCGCTATGCATCCAAACAGCTGGACAATGACTAGGAATGATAGAGCATTGATGTCTTTGATCTGTGGTGCTGGAGAAGAGTATTGAACATACCAGGGACTGCTAGGAGAACAAACAAGTTTGAACTAGAGAGGGTGAGACTAGAGTGCCTTGGAGGAAAGATTCTGAGGCTTTGTCTGACATGCTTTGGGAATTTTGCAAGGAGGGACCAATCCTAGGAGAGAGGGACATCATGTTTGGGAGGGTGGAGGGGCAGCGCAGAAGAGGAAGATTCTGGATGAGATGGATTGATTCACTGACTGGGGTATTGGGGGTACCAGAAACAATACTGTTGGCACAGGATAGAACAGAGTTCAGAGCTGTTGTAATAGGGTCATTGTAAGAGGCAGGTGACTCGATGGCACAAAACAACAACATATGAGATGAGAAAAGCACCCAGAGGAAAGCTGGAGGTCAGTCCCTTTTGTGAGAGGTGCACACTTAGATTGAGGTGTCTTTTAGAACCAATCCTTTTCCATACTAAGAAAAGATGGAGAAATCCATTTAGAAGTAAAATGTTGAATTATTCAAATGTTGAAGTATTCATATTCTGCCTATTTTGTTTATTCAATTTAAAATTTTTCCTGTTGAAAGCCAGAGGATCCATTTTAGAAAATTCATTTTTTTTATTTTAAAAACCATAATTTTGAAAGAAAAATTTAATAAAGTATCAAAGTTAATCTTCACTTTCACAAAAGATATTTTCCTTAAAATGTATTGAGTCTTTAGAGAGGAATGTCATTTCTCTGCTTCCTCTACAAATTAATTGATAGATTGTAAATATGTGTAGTGTATAATTATGTGCTAGGAACTCACTTCATATCCCTGCTCCATTTTTAAGACATTGTAAAGAAACTAGAAACTTTTGTGTAATTTCCTTTTTCTTTCTTTCACTCCTAGCAATGGACAATTTGCTTTAGTAAACTTTATAGACTTTTATAATCAGATATTGGCATTATAATTCAGTCATTTCTCCTTCTTCCCTAGGGACACTCCAGGTGAAGTTTAATGCTCTTTTCTACTTTGCTATTTGATTTTTGTGTTTGTGTGAGATACTGAAAATAGCTCTTACATAAAAACAAATTAGATGCTCTTGGTTGTCTTGTCTTAGGGGTTCACAAAATTAAGATTCACAAGTACTACTAGATGGAAAATCGTTACCTTTGTGAAAGAATGCTATTTTATTTGTTGGTAAAAACTACTGTATATATCTTAATTGGTTTAGTTAGAGTAACTGTTCATAGGTTGTAACAAACTACATTAAATCTACTATTTTAGATACAGAATCCATGGGTGGTGCAGATGGTTACGTGATCGACTATTACCTGAAGGGCTGAAGCTTTGGGTTTACCTCTAAAGCACCTAAAAGAAAGATCAGATGCTCTCCTGAAAAATCGGTCACTGAAGACGATGGAGTTGCTATTAGAATCAACTCAGTGGCAATTGGGTTGGGGGTTTTTTTGTTTGTTTTGGGTGGTTTTTTTTTTAGATGGAGGCCTGATGGTCCACTTTTCTTTATAATAAACTTAAGAGATCCTTTGATGCTTTAGTAATGAAGTATCTTCTTTTTCTAACTCAAAATATATTTGTAAAAACAATGTGTGCATATTGTGTAGTAGATATTCAGTTAACTAAGAATGTGTTTTTTTCTGGGGAGAAACCTCTAATATTTCATAGTCCCAACTGATTAATTTATGATAAGCTATAGTTACAAGCTGAGGCATGACTCACATTATGAGGATGGCACAGGATAGGGCAAGGTTTCAACCTGCTGTTCATAGCATCTCTATGAGTTGCAGTCTACCTGATGTTACCTAACAGTAGTTCCAAAAGTGTGATTTCCTTGAGAGCAAGACATCTGTGAATTCTTGTTAACCATAAGTTCTTCATTGCTATGGAATCAGAACTGACTCATAGCTGACCCTCCATTGAGTATTCAGAGGCTGCAAATTGTCTAGGAATAGATTGCCCTTATATCTCTTGTGGAGCAGCTGGTAGATTTGAACTGATGACCTTTGAGTTGGCAGTACAATTCTTTAACCCATTAGCCCACTAGAGCTCTCTGTTAACTATAGGAACACAATGCTTATAGCTTATGTTCACTAGCTTATTGAGTGAAAGCACTGAAACATGCCTAAAGGAGTGTACATCTTCTAATGTCATCTGTTATTTCTGTTTATAGGTATTCCCATTTAAAGAAACCTTCTTGCCAGCAAATCTATGATAAAAAACATAAGCAACAGGAGAGACTATAACTGTTATTTCTCAAGTGACAAGCTCTTAATGTCAGAATGGCTCACTTAAGGCGACTAGTAAAATTAAATCTTAAAAGACATTATCATAAAAAGTTTTGGAAGCTTGGAATAGTGGTTTTTTTCTTCATAATATTTTTGCTCCTAATACAAAGAGAAGTAAGTGTTCAATATTCCAAAGAAGAAGCAAGAATGGAAAGAAACATGAACAGTAAAAACAAGGTATTTGACTTAATGCTGGAAGCTGTAAACAATATTAAAGATGCAATGCCAAAAATGCAGATAGGAGCACCTGTCAAGCAAAGCGTTGATGCTGGCCAGAGACCCTGTTTACAAGGCTATTATACAGCAGCAGAATTAAAACCTCTGTTTGACCGCCCACCTCAGGATTCTAATGCACCTGGTGCTTCTGGTAAAGCGTTCCAGACAACTAACTTAAGTGCCGAAGAGCAAAAGGAAAAACAGCGCGGGGAAACGAAGCACTGTTTTAATGCTTTTGCAAGTGACCGGATCTCTTTACACCGAGACCTTGGGCCAGACACTCGACCTCCTGAGTATGTCAAAGAATATTAATGGTTTACTCTTTATCATCATCTCCTTATTCTTTAGCCACTCTGATGGGGGAACAACAACAAATACCTTTCATTTAATTTGTTTTCTTTCTTTTTTGCTTATTACTGGGGCGATATATCCTCTATGCTTGGGAAGGCAGTATAGATATGGAAAGCTGAGAAATTGGAATACTGAAATCCAAATCTATAGAACCTCAGAGACATTCTTCTCAGATGCTTTTGTTTTCTTATCTATTAAGGAGTAAATATCGAACAGTTATGGGAAATGTAAGAGGTGGAATATGTGTTCTAGTCCTTTGTGTTTTGCTCTAGTATAGAAAGATTAAAGAATATGCCAGGATATTGGAACTATCAGGTATATTTCATAGATTTACAAATTGACTCATAGACTTTGCAGCTGCTTTCAGTGCTACAATTATATATCAGAATACTTTATGTTTTGGAAGCTTTTAGGGGAGACTATTTCTATAATTACTATTTCAGCTGTGCTTCTTTGTCCAGATTTTGTTGATATTTAAGTGCTCCTTATCTATAGAGTGACCTCCCTTTAGTTAATGAGAAGCCAGCATTCCGTTATTAAATCACTTTCTTTTTTTGTCTCAAGTTTGGTCAGAAAATATTTTTATTAATATTTTCCCCTCATTTCTACTATACTGATTTTTTTGTCCTGTGTTACCCATTTTATTATGTGTGAGGTAATGTTCTTTTTGGAATAATAGGGCTAAAATATATTCCAGCATTTCAAACCATATGTACCCTTTTTTGGCTGTACAACAGAGGCAAATTATAAGCAAATTGTGCCTTCACATTTGCTTCCTGGTTTTAGCAGAATCATAGTTGGCAGTGAACCTGAACAAAAGGACTTTTATAGACTTAGTCCTATTGATTCACTCTGATTTTTCTGGATTAATAATCATTAAAACTTGCTACAACAATAAAAAGCCCTTAATGTTAAAGTTGTGTAGGTTAGATTTCTCTCATTTCTAAGACCTAAGATTGAATTGTGCAGTTTTTATATGAATGTGTGAAGATCTCTTTACATTGAGACATTAATTTCTTATGACTATCTGTAAAATAATCTTTTATAATAGGGTACAGTGCAGTTACTTTTTATGTTAATATTTATGATATTATGTCTTACTGACTTTTACGATGTCTCAAATGAAAAACAATCCACATCACAAATCAAGAAGCATGATTATTCTTGACAATCAGTGTCAGCTCAAGATGAATTGCTTTTCCAATGCTGCATTTGAGAAGTTGCAGTAATTTTCCATGTTAATCACTTAGTAACTGAAAACCCACAAATCACATTAAGATAATTTTGGATAGGAATGAGAAGGATAGATATATATAGAGTTGGTGAATGTTGAGTAGTTACTTTGAATTTTTATCAAGAAACAAGTTAGATGAAGGATTGCTAGTCTTTTTCATGCCCATTAAAAATACAGATCTAGTTATTCAAAAGCCAGATGGTCATATGACTGATAATTTAAGCATATTTCTATATGTCAGACTTTTCAAAAGGTTTGACCAGATATATATGGTCATTTTGGCAAACTGTCTCAATGCACTATTTCAGTGACATTTAAAAATAAAGCATTAGTTAAGCATGATAATATTTTCAAAATAAATGGAGTTTATTAAATCACTGAATTTTCACAGAATCTCAACAGGCTTTAAAAACCCACTAGTCAACTTTAGTCTCAAAGGCTATTCATACTCTAGTGGCTTAATATGAAAACCATTTTTATTGAGGGAATCATTGAAAAATGAATTAAAGATTAATTTATAACTAACATTTTATTGCTAACCGATAATCACAATAATCAGTCAAGAACTACTTAAGAGTTTCTCTCTGTGCCCATTAACATTTCAGACAGTGACAGAGGCTTAAAATATAAGCTGTTGTGCTTTTTTGACTGCTCAAAATATAAAAGATTTGACCTGCTTTAAATTACTGTATCTTTTCATTCCATTATGCTTTTCAGAATTTTTATTTGTGACTTTAACATGAATGTAGAGCTTTTATTTTAGATCACTAACCAAGAGATTTTTTTTTAAAAAGGAAATTTTAAATGAAAAGTCTTCTTTAATTAAACAGTATATTATTGGAGCAAAGTCTTATATGGCAAATGTAAAATGGTAAGTACTTACTAAGTATTTGCTGACTGAATCAATATCACAAGAAAATAGACTTTATGGCAAGCTATTTTTTCCCCTTTTGATTCCTGTATAGATTGAGAAAGTATTTCAATAAGCTTGGAAAATAACACATACCAGAAAAGAATTTTATCTCTAAATAAAGATGAATATTCATTTATTAAATTTACATAGTTTTTAAAGCTACAAATAAAAAATATAAGGAAAATATGGTTTTTGTATAGTTACACTTAATTTGCCCTTTTTTAACATGGTGTCTTCTATGTATTTATTCTAAATGTGCTATTTATATTTACTTTGTTATTTATCCTAAAGGTACTACTTGTAATATTTTGTTAAGAAAGCATACTGTAATCTTTGACATGTAGAATGTTTCAGTGGCCATGACTGCTGGGTAAATGATCTGCTTGTAAACGTTTCATTTTTATTTACTTGTAATTAAGATCATAATTTCCAAAGTGATACAAGTTAAATAATGGCAGTTTTACCAATGGAATAGCTGTGAAAGAAAATAATAGGATTAATAATTACAGCTCTCTTTCTTTTTTTCCCTAGATGTATTGAACAGAAATTTAAACGCTGCCCTCCCCTGCCTACTACCAGTGTCATAATAGTTTTTCACAATGAAGCATGGTCCACACTACTAAGGACTGTGCACAGTGTACTCTATTCTTCACCTGCCATATTGCTGAAGGAGATTATTTTGGTGGATGATGCTAGTGTAGATGGTAAGAAAGCACATGCCAATTATCTTGTTCCATGAGTAAATTCATGTTGTGTTTTACAAAGTCTGTTTGGTTATACCATGCTATCTGTCCACCAGCTTGGAGAGTGAATATAATAGCTTAGATTATATGTATGATGGATTACAGTAGAATTCAAGAATTCATAGAAGTGTTTTGATGTCCAGAACTGTATGAAACACCATTTTGTTAAATAGCTTTATTGATCACAATGCAGATCATTTATTGTACAGTGTAGTTGGTCAAAGCACAATTCAGGCTTTGCTTGAGTGCCTTGTCTGGTGGTGTGCACCATAGCATGTTGCGCTGAAAACCAAGTATCCACAACTATTTAAAACCACCAGCACCTCTGCAAGAGAAAGATAGGCAGTCTCCTCCAGGAAAGATTTATAGCCTCAGAAACTGATGGAGGCTCTCTATGATTTGGTTTTGATTTTACAGCAGTGAGTTTTGATCCTGCCCTGCTTTGAATCCCTACCCTGGTCTTTGTTATTGTTGTTGATTGCCTTTGAGTCAAACACAACTTCTAATGACCCTGTAAACAAAAGGCTTGAAGCCCCTCTACATCTGTCGACATTTATCAAAATTCATAGAGTTTCTGGAGGCAAGTTGTTTAGGAAGTGGATGCCGCTTGTTAAGAAATTGTATTACTTTACCTGTGTATCTTTGTTTATTTATAAAATGAAGATAATGCCTTATTTTCATCAAAACTTTTTGTAAGATACACTCTTAGCTTATAAATTATTAGAAAGGCAGAAAAAAGAAAACCAATGGGGAATTACAACCTCGCTTTTGCGAACAAAAGCAAAAACCACCAAATTCAACAATAGTCTCATTGATTCTGACTTGTAGTGTCTATTGCTGTTGTTAGGTGCCATTGAGTCGCGTTCAACTCATTGTGACCCTATGAAAAAAAAGTCTGAACCCTATTCTGTAACTATCCTCTAGTGTTGATAGGGTTTTCAAAGGTCTGTTACTTAAGAAGTGGATGCCAATCCTGCTTTCAAATCTGTCCTAGTCTAAGAGCTCTACCAAAGCCTGTCCACCATGGGTAATCCTTATGGCCTTTGACACAGTAGTGATCCAGCATTCAGTATCACAGCAACCCCAAGTTACCTCAGTACAACAAACTGATATTCAAGTGTTGTACCTTTTATAACAATGTTCTCCCCAAACACAACACCAGGCCCTGGGGCCCAACAAACTTTTCAATACAAAGGCCTACTCCCTAGGTCCTGATTATTTAAAGAAAAGGCTTCCTGCCCACAGCTGGTTGTTAACCAAATCCAAATGGCCAATCAGCTTGCACTTGATTGTTAACATAATAAAAATTACCAAACAGTTGACACCTGACTTTCAATTAAAACAGTCTACCCTCCAGAATCCAACTGCTTCCTGCTGGAGCCTCTTAGAGCCCAACCAACTTTTAAATATAAAGACCCAACCACCAGATCCTAATTGATTTAAACATGAGGCTTCCAGCCCACAGCTGATTGTTAACTAAATCCAAATGATGATTTACACCTGATTTTCAGTTACATCAAAATAACCTACTCTCCAGTATCCAGCTGCTTCCCTCTGGAGACCTATAGTGACTATGTTGTTGTTAAGTGCCATAGAGTTATAGACAACTCACAGCAACTCTATGGATGAAAGACCTGAACAATTATATTACTTTCATTGTTTCTCAAAGTTTGTAGAGTTTCTGGAAGCAAGCTATTTCGGAAGTGGGTGCCATTCCTTTTTCCAAGCTTGTTTTAATCGGGAAGCTCCACCAAACACTGTCCACCATGGGTAACTATTATCACATTTGATCTATCAGTGTCACAGTGTTTAGCATCACAGCAACCACGAGTTACCTCTGTATAGGAAATGGACAGCCCAGTGCTATACCACATAGAAGAATGTTTGACAAAAAAACAATTAAAAATAGAACAGAGTAATACTGCCCATAGGATTTCTAAGACTGTAAATCTTTATGGAAGTAGGCCACCTTATGTATGATGAATGGAAGTTTATGACAAGGGGGTTTGAACTGCCAGCCTTTTGATTCACAGCCAGATTCTTTAACCATTGCACTAACAGAGATCCTATAAGTAATGTCGTATGTGCTATTGAGTTGACTACAACTCCTAGTATTTTCACCCTATGAACAGCAGATCTGAACCTTGTCTTATTTTGTGACTACTCACCACCTTTGACACACTTGACATTGTTACAAGTAACTGTGCCAATCTATCTTGTTAAGGGTCTTTCTTCTTTACAATGACTGTCCACCTTTCCAAGCCTGATATCCTTCTCCAAGGACTGGGTATGTTGATTCAGTGACTGGGGTAATCGGGATGGGTGTGTCAGAGGCAGTGAGATTGGCACAGGATAGAGCAGGGTTTAGGGCTGTTGTACATAGGGTCACTATGAGTCACAAATGAGTCAACGGCACATAACAACAACATCAGCTGCACCTTATACTTTAAACTGACATCATTACTTGGGAGAGATTCCTGATAGCAGATTTCCCTAGTCATTTGATTTCTTGAGTACTGGTAGCAAGGGTGTTGATTGTGGATCCAAGTAAGTTGAAACCTTTGGCAACTTCAGTCTTTTTTCTGTCTATCATGATATGCCTATTGACCCAGTGAGGATTTTTGTTTTCTTAATGATAAGATGTAATCCATATTGAAAACTGCAGAAGATTGTTGTTAGGTGCCATTGAGTAAAGTACAACACATAGCAACCCAATGAACAATAGATATGAACTCTGTCTTTTTCTTTACCGTTCTCACACTTCAATGACACATAAGAGCTCATTGTGGCTGTCACCATGCAAATCCACTTGGTGAAGGGTCTTTCTATCCTTTGCCAACCCTCCACCTTTCCATCCTGTCGCTCTCCAAGGAACAGCTTCTCTTAGCAATATTTCCGAAGTATGTGAGATTAGTAGTTGACTGTTTATTAGAAAGGGAGCCATGGTGACATAGTAGTAAGGAGCTCTGCTGCCATCCCAAAAACATACGTAGTTTGAATCCACCAGCTGCTGTGCCAGAGAAAGATGGGCAATTGGCTCCCATGCAATGTATATTGCCTCTGAAAACACAATGGAAGGTCAGCTGTGAGTTGGTTCAGACTTGACAGTACACATCAGCAACAATTTATAAGACATGCACTCTGGTGGCTTAGTGGTTAGAAGTTGCTTTGCCAACCCAAAGACATGCTGTTTGAATCCATTTGCTATTCCACCAGAAATAGGTAGGCAATCTCTAACACAATTAACTTCCTTTGAAAATCTGATGCAGGGTCAGCTATGGGTTGGTTTTTACTCCATGGTAAACAACAGCATCATTTATAAGAAGGGAGCTCTGCTGGTTTAATGGTAAGGAGTTCCACTGCCGACCCAAAGGCAAACAATTCAAATCTACGAGCTACTCTATGGAAGAAAGATGGGCAGTCTGCTCCCATGCAATTTACTGCCCCTGAAAACCCACTGAAGGGTCATCTATGGATTAATTTCAACTTGATGGTGCATAACAACAATTTATAAGAATTATCAATCAAATATATCTTTGTTAGGTGCCATCAAGTTGAGCACAACTTATAGTGACCCTATGAACAACAGATCTTGGCCCTGCCCTATCTTATGACAACCTCACAATGTCTGACACATTTGAACCCATTGCTGCAGTCAGTGTCAAGTCACCTAGTTGAAGGTCTTCCTCACTTTTACTCTCTCTCCACCTTTCCAAATATGGTATCCTTATCCAATGAATAGCCTCTCCTAGCAACATTCCTAAAGAGTGTGAGATGAAGCTTCACTATCCTTACCTCAAAGGAGCACTCTAGGTGCACCTTCTCTAAGACATATCTGTTCTTTGGCAGTCCATGGGATATTCAGTACTGTTCTCCAACACCACTGTTCAAAGGCATCAATTCTTCTTTTGTCATTGTTAGTCATTGTCCAGTTCTCAGAGCCATAGCAGGAGATTGAAAAGACCATGTTCTAAATGAGGTGCACCTTAGTCTTCAAATTAACATCCTTATTCCTCAGTTATTTGGAGAGGTCCCTGACTGCAGACGTTCCCAGTGCAATGTATTTCCTCAGATCCTCGCTTCTGGTACCAAGGGTATTAATTGAAATTGTCAGTGACTTCTTATTTGGATCCACAGTCTTTTCCCCATTTATCATGATGTTGAATATTGGTCCAGTGTAAGAATTTTTGTTTTCTTGTTATTGAGATTCAGTCCATATTGAAGGCTGTATTCTCTGATCTTCCTTAGCAAAGTTTTCAAGTCCTCCTCACTTTGAGCAAACAAGGTAGTATCATCTGTGTACTGAAGGTTATAGATGAATCTTCCTTCAATCCTGATCCCACATCTTTCTTCAAAGAGTTCAACTTCTTAAATAATTTGCTCAGCGTACAGATTGAATAGGTATGAAGAAAGGATATAACTCAGATGTATGCCTTTCTTAATTGTAAACTATGTAGTTTTTCTTTACTTTTTTCAAACAGCAGGTTCTTTGTGTTGGTATAGGTATTAATGGAAATAATACAAATACAAAGTCCTAGGATTGTTTTTAGAATTAAATGGGAACAATATATGAATAAGTAATGTACCATGTTCGCTGGAAGAACATAATTTCCAATACACAGTGATGGAAGCATTGTAAGTGTCTATAATTACAGTCAAATAGTACTATGCAGAACAGAGTATTGTGCAACAGTAAAAAACTATAAAGAATTCATAAAATTCTACGTAACATGGATGCATCTAAAGAATATTAATACTAAGGAAAATAAGTCAGTCGCAAAAAGACAAGTATTTTGTAAAACCACTGTTAAATAAATCCAAGGAAAAATTTGTATGCAGAATCCTTCTTGGATGGCTACCAGGAATGGGAAAGGATGGAGAAGGATGTAAAAATTAGTAAATTTAGAAAAAAATAGTAAATAGATACTAAGGTGGATGATAGAAAAGAACAGTGTTCAATA